GAATTTGAAGAGCCAAATGAGTCTCTCCGAAGGTCGACAAGAAGAAGGAGGCCAAACCCAAAGTATGCAAATGCGGCACTAATGGAAGACAATGGGCCAAAAGAACCAGTTACTTTCAAAGACGCCTCACAAAGTCCCGAATGGAAAAAGGCAATGGAAGAGGAGATCAAGGCCCTTAGAGAGAACGAGACTTGGGAGTTGGTTCCTAAACCCAAAGAGGTATGTCCAATAACTTGTAAATGGGTTTATAAGTTGAAAACTCGGTCAGATGGATCAATTGAAAGATATAAAGCACGCCTAGTCGCTCGAGGTTTCTCTCAAAAGTATGGCCTTGATTATGATGAGACGTTCAGCCCAGTAGCAAAGATCACTACTGTACGAGTCCTACTAGCACTAGCAGCAAGACAATCTTGGAAGTTGTGGCAAATGGACGTCAAGAATGCTTTCTTACATGGAGAGCTAGATCGAAGCATCTACATGGAGCAACCTGAGGGATTTATAAGCAAATCACATCCAGAGTTTGTGTGCAAACTCAAGAAAGCATTATACGGATTGAAACAGGCACCACGAGCATGGTATGGGAAGATAGCTGAATTCTTGGTACAAAGTGGTTACTCAATTGCTCCTTCTGATTCAAGCTTGTTTGTGAAGTATATCGGTGGGAAAGTATCGGTCATATTGATATATGTGGATGATCTAATCATCACCGGGAATCATGAGAAGGAGATCAATGAAATACGAGGAAATTTATCAGTGAGGTTCCAAATGAAAGAGCTTGGAGAACTACAACATTTCTTGGGCCTTGAGGTTGAACGAACTAAAGAAGGAATATTCTTGTGCCAACACAAGTATGCAAAAGACATACTTGAAAAGTTTGGGATGCTTGATTGCAAACCGATATCAACTCCTATAGAGCCGAATGTGAAGATGTGCACAGTTGAAGGTCGAGAATTAGAGGACTCCACAATGTACAGACAACTTGTTGGAAATCTTATCTACTTAACAATCACAAGGCCGGATATCATGTTCGCGGTAGGAGTAGTGAGTCGGTTCATGGAGAAGCCAAGGAAGCCACACTTAGATGCAATCCGGCGCATAATGAGGTACGTAAAAGGAACTTTGGATTTCGGCATCTATAGATCATACAATTCAAAGATACAATTAGGGAAAGTTTTGACATGTGTCATTTTCTCATCAAACCTTCATTGTAATATCTTAGATTCTCTTTCCAATTTAGGGAGTAATATATTAATTATACTACCGTTACATGGGTATTCAAGTTAGGTTAGAAGTGTTTAACGTTAATTTAGGACTAATCTATACGGTTGGAATCCTAAAGCTTCCTAGAGTTGTGCAACTCAAAAAAATAAAATCCCATATTTTTTTAAACTGCTCTAACTTTTCAAGTTGTATTCTGATTATTACAAAAAGTATATCAAAATTCATAATTTTTTATTATCTTTCATATGACACCAATAATGAATATATAAAAATAAAAAAGTAATTTAACACTTTAAAATAATTACTTTATTTTGGTTACTCTAGCATTTTGGTTAGATTAGAATTGTCCTTATATGGTTAATTTAGTACTAAGCTTATGGTATTGTACCCGACTAGGAATGTACTTCATGCCACCCCACCCCAAAAAACATCTCTATCTTTAAAATTGATATAACTTTCTTATTTTTAGTTCAATTTTTGTAAAATATATATCAAAAATTATAATTTTTTATTATCTTTCATATGAGACCAATATTGCATATCTTAAAAAATTAATTTTAAACATAGGAAATATGTAAGATTTTTGGATCAAAACTTTTTTTAAATAGAAAATGCATTAAATATGAATAAAAATGTTTTGAAATTCTAAAATAGGGCCATCATGTTTTTATTTCCTAAATAGAAGTAATATCTGTCAAGTTTGGAAAAAACATGGCAAAAACTGTCATGTTTAAAGCTTGATAATGTAAAATTTGACAGAATTTATTTTAATTTAAGGAATAAAAAAAGGTAGACATATTTTGGAATTTCAAAACTTTTTTAATCCTATTAACATTTTCAGCCAGCAGATAAAATGTCCCCTAATTGCAGCACGCTCAAAATTATTTTTATTTTTATATATACACGTGTCATGTTCTAAGCAACCCATTCATTATAATATTTTAGATCCTCTTTCTAATTTGGAATCATGTCTATTAATTATTCTTACTTTACATCAATTAAAATTGCTAAATTTTAGAGCTACTTAAAAGCCTTCTGAGAATGAAATTCCTAAACAGCTAAACTTTAGAAGTCACATAATAGATTACAATACCACTGCCCTCTGGCCAATCCGGCACGTTAAAAACATAACTAGATTTTTTTCTAATTGGCTACAATAAATCAATTGGATAGAATAAATCATTTTGGACTCAAAACGTACATATACTCCGCATAAGTTTAAGTTTTACCCGAATTTTTAGTTACCTATACAAATACAATTGCACTCAAACACATCTGCCTGAAATTTGATCAAAATTATAGCTTAAGCGGTTGAATTGGCTGAATGTAAAAAACTATAAGAAAAATTCTAAATAGATATGATTTTACGAATAGATTAAAGAAAAACTATATAAAATATCTAAAATGACCTTCTACAATAACTTTAGTTAATTCAGCCAGAAAAGTAAATCTAACTTTACTTATTTGATTATTACACAATTCAATATTTCAGTGTGAAGAATCAAAAGTTACGTATTATAAAAAAGTTGATTGATAAGATTGATAAGCAGCTAGAAATAGAAGTTATCAAATGGATCTCTTAATTGTTTCTAGAACTTCACTCAAATAGAATTGCACTCAAATTATTTTCTGGGGTAACTTAAGCCAAACCAGTTAGAAAAATAAGTTCAACTTTATTTATTTTGATTATGACACAATTCAACGTGAAGAATAAAAACTTACGTGTTTATTAAAAAGTTGGTTGATAAGACTAATAAATTGAAAATAGAGATTATTAATCGGGCTCTTATTTTTTGCTAGATTTACGTGCTTATTAAAAGTTGGTTGATAAAACTAATAAGTTGAAGTAGAGATTATTAAACGGGCTCTTATTTTTTCTAGAATTGCATCCAAATAAAATTCATATGTGTATGAGTGTATATGATAGTTTTAAAAATGATTAAAAGCTTACTCTCTTTGTAATGTAAAATATTCTGAAAGTTTTCATTTGACATATTGTCTTTAGCATTTTCAATTTTGAAAAACTCTCATTTGGAAAATTTGGAATACAATAGGAATATTATTAAGTAACTATTGAAAAAGAGGGACACATAAATCAAAGAATAAAAACATTGTATTTGAGGTTTGTGCAAATCAACGTGCCTTTAGTTTTGTGCCTAAAACATTCCTACCGACAATCAAATCAAAAAGACAAAAAGGTCAAATAGATCAAATTCATCACTTGAGTCCTTATATTTAAAACAAGTTTCATATAAATATGTTTACTTTAAATGTATCGCCAATTAAGTCATTTTAAGTTGCTATAACAGGTTACTTCAAAAAAAATTAAAACAACTGATTAGTCTTATAAAAACTCATATAAATTCAAAAAGTAATTTAACAATATAAGATTATTATAAGTTCAAAATTAGATAAATATTTTTAAATTAAAAATAATCAAAAAATGATTATTATCTAATAATCAGAATAAGTAAAGTTGAACTTATTAGCTATTGTTTTGATTGTGTTCTCTTTGAATAACATATAATAATAATAGCATACATTTTGGGTCGTCGACGTGTTGCTACTAATCTACTACAGCAGTACGGGATACGTTATTTGTTATTTATTTATATTTTTGAATGTGTTGCTTGGCATTTTTAATAAGCTCATTTTTTGGAAGAATTTTTAATGAGCATCTGACCAATAGATGTTTGATAAAAACAAATATTGCCCGATTAAAGTACATAATATAGAATCTTCTTTTATTCAATAACACTTATTTTATTTGATAAGATCATAATACTCTCAATAACTCTAATAAAATAAACTAATGTCATTGCCTTTCATTCAACTAATGTCATTGCCTTTCATTCAACTAATGTCGTTGCCCAGAGACTCGCCAATTGTTGTCATGCAGTCTACTGTCATCATCATCACCACTCTTAAAATCTAAAAAAGCTACAAAACTCTATAAATTCATAAGGTAAATCACCAAAATAAATGGGGTAAGTCCCCAACTCTCTATTTCCACTTACCGAATATAATAAAATAACAAAACGAAACTTATACGGGGACAAAAATTGAAAACAAATTGAGAGAATAAACTATAAAAATGACAACATTAAAACAAATGTACATAATAACCTCATTGAGTCTATGGAGCCTTTTACAATAATCGAGAATTCATAGTCAAAATTGGAAAGATGATGTTGGTGTTCCCTCAATGAAAAGATGAGGATTGAAAAGATGGTGAGCTACCAATTTATATCAAGTTGAGATGCATGTTTACATCTTTATTTAGTCATCCAATCTTTTTATATATTATGGAGCGACATGGACACCGTCAAAATGTTTCTTTACATTCTATAATAAAATTTAAAATATAAAAGTGTATTTTATTCCGTGCACGGCACGGGTAAAAATACTAGTATTTTATAAAAGAGATGCATCATTTGAAGTGGTAGGCCATTGTGATGCTGATTATGCTGGAGATCATGATACTCGTCGCTCTACCACTGGTTACACATTTAGTCTTGGAACAGGCACAGTGTCATGGTGTAGCAAAAGACAACCAACAGTGTCATTATCAACTACAGAAGCAGAATATAGAGCAGCAGCAATGGCAGCTCAAGAGAGTGCATGGTTGATGCAACTTCTAAAAGATCTTCATCAACCAACTGAGGAGCCAATAACATTACATTGTGATAACGAATCAGCAATACGACTCGCGGAGAACCCAATCTTTCACGCAAGGACAAAACATGTGGAGGTTCATTATCATTTCATACGAGAAAAGGTCCTTAAAGGAGATATTGAGATGAAATACATCAGGACAGAAAATCAAATTGCTGATTTGTTCACCAAAGGGCTAAACACTACGCAGTTCGAGAGCTTGAGGGATCAACTTGGCATGTTTGCAAGATCTGCAATAAGATAGAGTAGTCGTTGAGGGGGAGTGTTGAAAAGTCAACGACTCTCTAGAAACTTCTAGAATCTTCTTTATTAAGTTCTCTAGAATCTTCTATAATCTTCTTTATGAATTCTAGGAAGTGTAGAATTCTCTAGATAGAGTATTGAATGAGAGTTAGATAGAAATACTCTAGAATGTAATAGATGTGAGAATAATCTAGAATGTAATTAATGTGGAAGGATCTAGAAACACTCTCACCTCCTTAGGCTAGCTAGTATAAATAGAGGTGGATGGACACAACTCCATCACCACTAAGAGAGTGAAGCATCCTCAAGAGTGAGAGTAAGAGAGACTCCCCACCTTTGTACTCAATATTTTACATTAATAAAATTGTCTTTTATTCCTCCAAATCTCAACAACCCATGCAGCACTAGTCGAAATAATCCGACCTTTCCACCCCTGAAGTATCCAATGACCATCTTGGTGAAGCATAAAGTCTTTGTGATATGCTTCATTCATCTTACATAACTTCTTCAGAATTACAGGGCTCACAGGCACAGGCTTGAACCCAACCCTCATAGTGCGAGATTGCCACTGCTTGTATGTTTCAGGTCTCTCTAACCTTTCCGCGCCCTCGCATGCTACAATATTTGCTATTTCCAGCCCCATAAATTGTTGCTCGAAGTGCATCCTTTGAATATCATGACGTGGGAAAAATGCTTCAGAGAGATCAAAGAGATTAGAGTAGTATGTGAGAGCCGCTCGGAACCGATTGAGAAAGAAAGGGGAGTTGTGAGATGCACTAAGCATACTATGCACAAAAATATGAGGGTTTACTTCTCGGATTAACTTCAAAACCGCATCCCGGGGGCAGTCCACACCGCATACTGTTTCGTCTAGTAGTCGTTTGAGTCGATCGTTACAGTTTACTGCAACAACCTCACCCATCGCGAGTTTCAAGTCATCAACCTTAATTGCCTCCCAATTCTTTGCTGTGATGGAATTGTATTTGAATGGTACACCGAAATGCTCGCAATATTTAGCCAAGCGAAACCCAGTCTCCACTACCATTTGTGATGGACGAAAACCGGGTTGGGGAAGCTCAATCCCAGTGATTCGAAGTTTCGGAGGACCACCCGGTCTTCGTGAAAGATTCCGAATAAGAGTGGGCCATTGAATACCATGAAGAATGCCGAAATCGATGATATGCAGTGACGCGCCCCTAGAAGCTACTTCATAAATCATTTCATTTGCAAAGAAGATAAATATCCTCAGAAATGGTATACAGGATGAGAAGTAGGATTTCAGCAATTCGAGGACGTTGATCCTGCTGTTAAATGATGAAGAAGGACAGACTTGCGCCCCGTTTCCAGCCAGGCGTGCCTCAAGAGCGTCAGCAAATGTATATGCCAGCCTTTGGTTTTCGTCCCCGGCAGGCGAAGAGTTCTGCCTGATCTTCTTTAATTTTTCTACAGCTGCACTGTAATCCAAAGCATCAACAGATTTTGCGCAGCTGATCAAAAGAGTCTGGAGATCACCATCAATAGCTTCACAACCTTTCTTATTTGAATGCCTTTTGCCACCTTTTCTCCCTTTCTGTTGTTGTTTGCTAGTTGCAGATGAAGAACCATCACTATCATCATCAGCATAAAGCAGCAAAACCTTATCAAACACCTGTGAAAGTTCTACCTCTGTATAAGTTGCACTCTGCTTCCTTCTCCTTTCATCCTCTTCTTCTTCTTCTTCTTCTTCATCTAGCCCGCTTTCACGTGGACGGTAATGCTTACTACCTCTGTTCAAATCCTCAGTCTCTAAATGCAGTGAGTATTTATTGTCGAAATTGATGACCATCGGATTATGGTAGGAAAGAATCTTTTAGCTTCCTCCACAAATCTCGGTGATTCCAAAATGGACGCAATTTTATCATCAAAAGATATATTTGGAGCCGAATGAGCACTTCCAAAGCTATATAAAAAATCGTTTGTGACAGGTTCAAAATCAGAACTGGAGATCACAGCTGAGATGTCTTTTGGGCTTGTGACATTGCTGTCAGAGGAGGAATTCTCACCCAATGCTTCATTGAAGTAATTCTCAGCAGCTGTTAGTGCAGTAGGATCACAGAATAAGGCATCACTATTCTCATCAACGTCATCCCCTAGTAGCATCTGGTTAATGTAATCGATAACGCGACCAGAGTCCATTGAAAGAGCACCCTCGCTCTCATTCTCCAACCCGAATCTCTTTATAGAGTAGACAGGCAAGCATCTAAGCTGACGATCCATAACGGTCTATAAAATATGGAAGAAAGATGGGTAAACAAAGTAACAAACAGATAAACAACTACTGCAGCAATCATAATGAACTTCATAGTTCATTCTGTCTAGTACTAGTTATAAATCATTTACATCTTATACTGCTTATAGTTTCATTTTTCATTGCCTAATCTATTAAACATTTTTCAGTTATAAATGAATTTTTAAAACCAGTTATGCAACTATACTAAAATAAAATCCTTGAGTGGTCATTCCACCACATTTGTGGCGGTTTTAGTCCCTCCCTGTCAGCCTGTTAACAGTTTCCAGCAGCCATGGAGTGGTAGTATTCAGTATATACCATGCACCTGATCAGGTTCTGTTGCAATTGGTATTTAAAACTTCCATAACGGATGGGGTGTGAATGCTTTCAATTCTAGTTTTATGTTTTTCTATTATATAAGTAAATCCTTTTTAAAAAAACAAACCATAAGCAACTTTTTTAGCATTTTTAACTAGGGAAACATAATTTTAATACCCCAAGCTTTAATGGGGTGTGAGGTGTGTACCCCAAATCTGCATATGTAATATGTATATCCTGAACTTTATATAAGAAGTAATTTTCGCACCATGATTATATGTTTTCTTACAAATACAAATTTATTGGAATAATTATATAATTTAAAATATTTCCATCATTTGCAATGGAGCCAAAGATTCATTATTTTTTGGCTTGAGAATATGATGGAATAAAGCAAAATGGCTCACTAAAATGTGTGTGCTTCTTTGTTATGAAGCACCAGTCAGTCCATGCAATTTTGGATGCGATTTTCACTATGGGTCATCCGGAAACAGTCTCTCTGTGCATTAGTACAGGGGTAGTACTGCGTACATCCGACCCCCCTTATCCCACCGTAGGTGGGAGCCTTTGCGGCACTGGGGTAAATGAAAATGATGATGAAATGATGAATTATACTACCTCCGTCCCACTAAGATTGAAACATGAGAAGGTGGCACAGTTATTAAGAAAAGCGAGTTTGTGTGGTTGATATTAAATTGATAAAGTCAAAATAAAGTAAGAATGATTTAGAGCCACACAAACTTTACCAAATTTGGTATGAGACAATCTTAGTGGGACTTCCCGAAAAGGTAAAATGGGACAATCTTAGTGGGACAGAGGGGGTATAATTTAAAATACCTTAAGCCTTGTTAGAATGCAATTAATCTTCTAAAATTTCATTTGTTGAATAAATAATATTACATTTGGTACAATTCAATATTAATTGCATCCTCATAAATTTTTTGCGTATTTAAAATTATGTACATAAAACTGTAAAATTACATTTATGAAAAAATATATGATCATTGTGCTAACATAACTTTTTATATATTACGTGTTCTGAACTATTCAAATCAATACACGAATTGATATAGTTATAAGGGAATAATAATTTAAATATCTCAAATTTTGAAGGGGTGTGACATAAGTACCTCAAACTTGCACATGTAGTATGCATACCCGAAACTTAGCTAAATATGATTCCGAACTTAGCGAAATATGTTTTGAACTTATTTATTTCCTTAATATAATCATTCTGGTTTGATTTGAATATAATAGTTCAGGATTCCGTTTAAATGACTTAAATTGTTTTTTAGTGCATTTTTGAATCATAGGGCTAATGCATGCTTATCAAAGGGAATTTTGAGTCATTAAACCCCCCAAAAAACACAATTTATCCCTCCTAGATTTACTACTACGTATAATAATTGCTCAAGGAAAATGTGATGCTTTTCTAAGACAGAGCTCCAATAGAAGATGAACTCCAAATAATTACTACGAAGTATAAAAATAGCAAACTTTTGAGCAAATTTAAAGCAATTAGTACTGATTGCACTATAAGGCTTTGTTTGCAACAACTTAAGAAAAGTGATTTTGGCTTTTTTTTTAAAGAAAAAAACACTTATTTTACCAAACATTACCAACTTTTACTTTCTCGGCTTCTGTGTAGAATCTACTTTTTACTTTTTCTATTACACAAAAAACACTTATTTTACCAAACACTGCCAACTTTTACTACTAATCACTTTTTATCAAAAAGTACTTTTATTTAAGAACAAGTGGTTGCAAACAAAGCCTAAGTTATACTCTAATACAAATATGAGCAGGCGTACCTGCTTGGAGTGAGAACAGAGGAAGGGATATGATGTAAGATTACAGGTGAACAAATAATGCTGTAAGTAATAAAATTCAGGCCGAGAGGAAGCTAACAAATATGAAGTTTAATATTACCTACCGACATGGGAGTCCCCCACAGCCTTAACTATTAATGTACCACTTGAAGAAGTTGTTTTAATGCTTAAATGTGAACCCACTTTCTTATACAAAATATGACAACCCGTGGAATTCAATAATTATTTCGATCCACCAAAACTTAAACGCTCCGATTTGCAACGTTTTTGTTTTTGGCGGTTTCGTCTCAAACGCCGCTGCTAAACTCTATTTGCCAAACGGGAAAAAAACTGAGGTTTGAGTCCTCCAAATAAGCCACTATGTTTGGAGAGTACCTTGTGGTTTTGTTGATCATTTGGACATGATGATTTCGTTTGATCATTTTGTGAATTTTGAGGTATATCAAGTGAAAATATCGTGGAATTTAAATGCCTTTATGTCTTAAGTTGTACTACTGTACTACTCGACTGTTGGCTAACTAATAAATTGTCTGTTTATTATTCTATGTTATTTTCATATGATTCCAACATCCTATTTGAGGGAGGACGATAATTTCTTATACATGTTGATGTTCGTGTAGTTGCCCTTCGTGTACTTGTAAATTTAGAGTGTGGATTCTTAAATGTTGAGTATATGTATGCTAATGGATTTTTTAAATAAAAAAATAGGCGGAATTTTAGTTAAAGAAAAAAAAATCACCCCTTGACTATAATTCCTGGATCCGTACTTAATAATGATTAGAATGAGGAGTGAATCTTTTGATATATGGATTATATATTTTAAAGTAAGCCTTGGTCAATTTCAAAGACATAATTTCATGTATATTTACACACAAAGACATGCATACAGGGGCGTAGCTAGGGAGGGCCAGCTCTGGCCTAGCCCAAATTTTAAAAATGTCCATATTTTTAGTGTAAAAGTCCCGTGTAAAAAGAATTTCAAAATTATTCTTTGCACCGGCGCAGTTCCCTGGCTCCGTCTCTGCATGCATACATATTGTTTTCATGTTCAAATGGAAATTATTAGAGCTGGATAACATTTTTTTAAAAATCATAACCATGAACCTATTTTGTTTTAATTTACTGCTAGTGGACGATAGATAAAATTACTCTTTACATATAGTTTTGTATGAAAAAACTCGTCAAATCGGTGGCTGCCTCATACTAGTGTAAATGTTTGGCAAGTGTAAATAGTTCATAAAAATGTGTACATAAAAGTCCGGTCACACAGTGCTAAAAAATGTAAAAAAGTTCAAGACGGCAAACTATTAATACAAATATGAAGGCCGGAATTTCAGAACCGAGAACTGAACATCCAAATACCATGTTGTTCATCTACACAAGGAGAACTGCATTGATGATTTGATGCAGCCATCATTTTCAGTATTCGTCACTTCCCCAAGATAACTTATCATTGATGCAACTAGATTAGATATTAGTAAGTACTATATAATTAAATTTAAAGTTCAATACGTAAAACACTATAAAATATCACAAAGACGGTCTTACCGTCTATGACAAAATCAACAAATTAGCGCTAGCTTTTGAGTTACCCATGCAGCGCTAGTCGAAACAATCCGACCTTTCCACCCCTGAAGTATCCAATGGCCATCTTGGTGAAGCATAAAGTCTTTGTGAGTTTGTGATATGCTTCACTCATCTTACATAACTTCTTCAGAATTTCGGGGCTCACAGGCAGAGGCTTGAACCCAACCCTCATAGTGCGAGATTGCCACTTCTTGTATGTTTCAGGTCTCTCTAACCTTTCCACTCCCTCGCATGCTACAATATTAGCTATTTCCAGCCCCAAAAAATGTTGCTTGAAATGCATCCTTTGAATATCATGACCTGGGAAAATTGTTTCAGAGATATTAAATATGTTAGAGTAGAATGCGAGAGCCGCGCGGAACCGATTGAGAAAGAAAGGGGAGTTGTGAGATGCACTAAGCATAGCATGCACAAAAATATGAGGGTTTACTTCTCGGATTAAGTTCAAAACTGCATCCCGGGGGCAGTCTGCACCGCATATTGTTTCGTCTAGTAGTCGTTTGACGTTTGAGTCGATCGTTACAGTTTACTGCTACAACCTCACCCATCACGAGTTTCAAGTCATCAACCTTAATTGCCTCCCAATTCTTTGCTGTGAGGGCATTGTATTCGAATGGTACGCCGAAACGCTCACAATATTTAGCCAAGCGACACCAAGTCTCCACTACCATTTGTGATGGACGAAAACCGGGTTGGGGAAGCTCAATCCCGGTGATTCGAAGTTTCGGAGGACCATCCGGTCTTCGTGAAAGATTCCGAATAAGAGTGGGCCACTGGATGCCATGAAGAATGCCGAAATCGATGATATGCAGTGACGCGCCCCTTGAAGCTACTTCATAAATCATTTCATTTGCAAAGAAGATAAATATCCTCAGAAATGGAAGACATGATGAGAAGTAGGATTTCAGTCATTCGAGGACTTTGATCGTGCTGTGATATGATGAAGAAAGTTGCGCCCCGTTTCCAGCCAGCCGTGCCTCAAGAGCGTCAGCAAATGTATGTGCCACCCTTTGGTTTTCGTCCCGGACAGGCGAAGAGTTCTGCCTAATCTTCTTTAACTTTTCTACAGCTGCACTGTAATCCAAAGCATCAACAGATTTTGCGCAGCTGATCAAAAGAGTCTGGAGATCAACATCAATAGCTTCACAGCCTTTCTTATTTGAATGCCTTTTGCTACCTTTTCTCCCTTTCTGTTGTTGTTTGCTGGTTGCAGATGAAGAACCATCACTATCATCATCAGCATAAAGTAGCAAAACCTTATCAAACACCTGTGAAAGTTCTACCTCCTCTGTATAAGTTGCACTCTGCTTCCTTTTCCTTTCATCCTCCTCTTCTTCTTCTTCATCTAGCCTGCTTTCACTTGGACGGTAATGCTTACTGCCTCGGCTCAAAACCTCAGTCTTTTAATGCATTGGATATACCTGTTCATGCTCGTAGATCTATTCTGGCTGATAAACTTGGACTTAGTCATTTTAGATATTATTAATTTGTTGTACTTTTATTGGGTAAGGTATAGTCCTCCCAATAAATCGTTTATTTTTTTTTCTGTTTATTTCTGTATCCAATGGATCAGGTCTAGCCCCCCATTGTGCTCTTGTTTTTGTCATTTTCTCAGATGTAATTTTGGGAAGGTATGCCTTCTGGGAGAGGTTTTGGTCTAGTCCCCTCTCTTTTTTGTACTCCTTTTTTAAATTAATAAAAGACGGCAAATGTTACCCGGCATTTGTCCCACCGATTTTGGTGGTTTACCTTTCCGGGTTAAAAAAAGAAAGAAAGAGTATTTATCGTCGAAATTGATGACCATCCGATTAATGGTAGGAAAGAACTTTTTAGCTTCCTCCACACCTCTCGGTGATTGCAAAATGGATGCAATTTTATCATCAAAAGATATATTTGGAGCTGAATGAGCACTTCCAAAGCCATACAAAAAATCGTTTGTGACAGGTTCAACATCAGAACTGGAGGTCACAGCTAAGATATCTTTTGGGCTTGTGACATTGCTATGAGAGGATGAATTCTCACCCAATGCTTCATTGAAGTAATTCTCAGCAGCAGTCAGTGCAGTAGGATCACAGAATAAGGCATCACTATTCTCATCAACTTCATCCCTGAGTAGCATCTGGTTAATGTAATCGATAACGCGACTAGAGTCCGTTGAAAGAGCACCCTCGCTCTCATTCTCCAACCCGAATCTCTTTATAGAGTAGACAGGCAAGCATCTAAGCTGACGATCCATAACGGTCTATGACATACGGAAGAAAGATGGGTAAACAAACAGATCAGATAAACAACTGCACCAATCATAATGAACTTCATAGTTCATTCTGTCTGGTACTCCAGTTATAAATCATTTACATCTTCTGCTTATTGTTTCATTTTTCATGGCCTCATCTATTAAACAATTTTCAGTTATAAACGATCTCTTAAAAACAGTTTATGCAACTATACTAAAATAAAATCCTTGAGTGGTCATTCCACGCATTTGTGAGGGTTTTAGTCCCTCCCTGTAAGCCCGGGGCCGGGACTCTTTAAGGATTATTATATTATATATTATTATAAACCACGGAAAAGATGGTAGAGCTGCTATTCAGTATATACCAATATACCATGCACCTACGCAGGTTCTGCTGCAATTGGCATTTCAAATTTCCGCAGCTGCCTAATATACTTTCTCCTTTTTGTATGAATGTCTTCAATTCTAGTTTTATGTTTTCCTATCATATAATTAAATCCCTTTTGAAAAAACAAACAAACCATAAACAACTTTTTAGCATATTTAACTGTATCGATTCGTGTACTGATTCTCGAACATGATTCTGAACTTTGCTAAGTATGTTTCGAACTTATCTATTTCCTTTATATTAGGGGTTCCTCTATAGTTTATATGGTTTGATTTGAATAGTTCAGAATTCCGTTTAAATGTCTTAATTTGTTTTTGAGTTTTGAGTTTTGAGTCATTAAATCCAACAAACAATACTACGTATAACTTTCATTCCCCTAGATTTGTTATATTAATTGGTCGAGGAAAATGTGATGTTTGTCTAAAACAGAGCTGCATATAGACAGACATATAGAGCCCGTTTGGTAGCACCAAAATCGGCTGTTTTGGCTGATTCTGCTGAAATTTATGATATTCTGGCTGGAGTGGCTGTTTTGGCTGATTCTGCTGATTTAAGAAAAAAATATTTTAAAAATATATTTTATTAATAAATTAAAGAAAAAATTGTATGTAAAAATAGCTAAAATGGTCCTCTACAGTAACTTCAGCCAATACAGCCAGAAAAGTAACTCCAACCTTACTTTTTCGGCTTATTACACAATTCAGCGCGTGAAAGTAAAAATTACGTGTTTGGTGAAAAAGCTGGCTGATAAGCCTGATAAGCCGAAAACAGAGTTCTCCAAACGGGCTCATAGTATGATACGCAATAGAAGATGAATCATGTCCAAATTACTACGAAGCCAAGTATAAACAAAATCAAACTTTTGAGCAAATTAAAGCAATTATCAGGGAAATTTAAATAGGAGTAAATAGTTTTGGAATTCCAAGGTTGGATTGTTGTGTTTTTCTTCCCGAAATAGAAGTTGTTATTGTTATAATTTAATTGAAAAACATTGTCATGGTTAATGGCTAGTAGTACAACTATTTGACAGTAATGACTACAAAATGACATAAATATTGTCATGTTACTCATATTTGAAGATGAAAAAGATATGGCGCAGTGTTTTAAATAGCGGTCTGCTACCGCTATAGCGGCCGCTATATAGCGGTCGTGGTAGGTACCGCTACGGGCCGCTACAGGGTGTGATTATCAAATCACAGAAAAAATCCGCTACGCCATCCGCTACAGCCCGCTACAGGCCGCTATCGGCACTTCCGGCAGTACATCACGGACTAATTGACGTGTAAATGTGTAAAAGTTGTGTGCATGATGTGAAAAAATACATTAATGGTGATGAATGGAGTGAAACTCTAAATTAAATGTACATGTATCTACATACATTATGGTAGCAAATATTAATACATATCTAAATTTTAATTATTAAAACCGAATTAATTATTAATAAGAATGATTTAACTTTAATATCAGTTGACGAAAAAAATGTTGACTTAACAAAACAATATGGTACGGAAGTGGTATTATTATGGATTATGCATATTCTATTATTCTTATTGATTGATTAGTTGTTAATGTTACAAGTGTTCAAACAAATATTCATAATGTTTCTATTAACTTTAGCACTCATTAAATATATGTTTTGCACATTTGAAAATATTTCACGCCGCTGCAATCGCTAGAAACGGCTAAAGGCCGTTATAGGCCGCTACCGAGATGACCGCTACTACTGACGATACGGCTATTTAAAACACCGATATGGCGTAGTACTCTAAGTTATGTAGTACTCCGTGTAATCTAATCACTAACACTTTGTATGAGTAGGTGTACAGCACATACCTGCTTGGAGTGAAACGAAGGAATGGATATGAAGTGAGATTCCTGGTAAACAAATAATGCTGTTCCTATAAAATTCAGGACGAGAGGAAGCTAAAAGAGGAAGGAATGTGAAGTTTGAAGAACAAATACTCGTAATTGGCAGGACGTAAATTTGTCCAATTGGGTGAATGCATGTCGTTACCTATTTACCTACCAACCCACATGGGATTCCCCCACAACCTTAATTATTAACCAACATCAGTACTATTATGTACGACTCGAAGAGGTTGTTTTACTGCTTAAATGAGAAATAAAGCCCTTTATTATACTATACACACCTCTTTATATACGGAGTACAATGTATATTTAAAGGAATATAGGGAATGTTTCTAAACATTCTAAGAGCATCTCTAATGCTACAATGTGTACGGTGCACATGTGACATGAGAGAGATAGACACAAAAGATTGATTTTATGACATTTCTCTTTCCGTCTTTCCACGGTCTTATGTGTTTTTGGTAAATTTTTCTCTGCAATGTCAACCACAATGTCAACATCTAGACATTGTGTTTGACATTGTGAAAAAAAACTTACCAAAATATATTTTATTTATTATTTTTTGATTGGTCATCTCTCATGCCACGTATGCACCGTTAATGTATTAGCATTGGAGATGATCTAAGCACCTTGCTTTGGAGTGGTGTAAAGTTATAGCATGTGACTTCTTATTTCATTCACTAGTCTTTCAGCAATACTTATGCCACCATGGGCGTAGTAAGATGCAGAAGTTAGGAGCCGGTATAAAGAATTTTTACAAATTTGGTGTGCCACACTTGTCTTCAAGAAATTTTTCACTTTTTCAATGATCTTATTTCATTGTTAACTAAAAAATTGTTTTTTTAGATGTTTTGGTGTGCTCATTGCATGTCAATATCATCGACAAAGATACCCTTATAATTCCTAAGATGTAATTGAGTTGTTTGGTCATGTATTAAAATTGTTTGAAAGTTGTGGGAGTTAAGTTTATGTTGCAATTTATGTTTCAATTTTATTTTTCTATAACTTGCTTTTAAAACAAATGCACCAGATTTTATGAAGTTTTGTTAATACTATACTCCGTAGCATACTTATAATCAATGCCAATGGGATCCTCAGGAGACTTCAAGCATCATAGATGAATTTGACTCTTTGCAAGTCTCCCATAAATTGTTAAAGTTGTAAATTTTGTTTAATTAATTATTCCTATGAATGAGTAAAGAAATTGAGTCATTGAGATAATTAGATTTATGAATCTATGATTGACATAAATTGAAAGAGGTCTAAGAAGAATTAGAAGACTAAGATTGAGAATCTTAAGCCTACCTGGCTACCTTTTATGGTGAGATCAGGCCAGGTAAGGAAGGCATTTTAAATGAGTTTAAATGTTTAATGGTCCAATTCAACATTCTATTTTCATTAATATATTAACTATTGATTTTAGCTATTTGATTTAAAATTTGTAAAAAGAAATAGACACTCAACACCCACACAGGCAAATAGCCAATGAACTTGCTTTGGTTTCATGGATAAACCAAAGTACAACCAGTAACATATATACAGTGAAATACAACGGGCAAGAAAAATGCTAAATGCTCTAAAAATAAATACCTGAAAGAACAAATTGGGGAAAGGGAAAAGGTGAGAAAGGAGATTTTGGCTGTGCCATTAGAACATACATAGCATACAAAGATGAACAAAACCAAGCAAGCATTCAGATGGGAAAGATCTCCATTAAACATTCCTATCTTTGGGATGAAGGAGAAATATGCCCTTCTGACCTGCAACTAGCTTTGCCAGAGACGGTGGGCATGGCTGATCCTCTGATATTATATTTATCATAAACATTGTCACGGTTCTCTGACCACCAACTCTCTGCTTGGTGCTCTCCAAATCTTCTTCGACTGAAATGCAAATTATATAATCATCAGATCCTAAGTAAACGTTCTTTTAAATTAGATTGTAAATCTCATGACCAAATAGATGGGAAATACATGCTAGTGTTTAGTGCCCAAAAATACAACCTAATTATTTCAGGTCCACACTTTGGGTTATTCTGGTGAGGTTTGAGTTTCACAAAATTTCTATATTGGACAATTCTAGCATAAGTTGCAATCAAAATTCGGTGAATGATAACAAAATGTTAAAGATATTCATCTGAGTACATAATCGTATGATGATTAGCTAATTGACATTCAAAAATAAAGTAGATAAAACGCAAATATGATGAATCCTTGGACTAAAACAGTATGTTTAATAACCATTGTATATAATTTATACAAGGCTGCGGTATGTTCTTATTCCTGGTAAATAGTGTCTTTTATTTAGAGCCAATACATTTTTTTCATCTGTATATTTTATTCTTTTCATTTTAATTCCTTGCTGACTGTTTAGCAAATTTAGTTTGACAATAAACAGACATGACTCACATGAATGATAAGTTTTCATTAGCCTTCACTCTACTAGTAGTCTCCAAAACGATAAAAAGTTGTGTTAAAATTTTCGAGTGGCACTATGTGGGACACATTAATTTTTTAATTCTAAAAGGACTAAAGGAGATTGCCCAAGTGTTACATAGGGACTAAAAAGAAATGGCATATATTCAATGGATGAAAACAAGAAAAAAATGCAAGGTCTAAACAAAAGATGCTATATTTGCCAGGAGTAAAATCATATCCAATCCTTTATACGATAGTATAATGTATCAGTACTTCCTCCATGTTTCAGGTCAAGTCCAAGATGTTCTAGTAATTTGTACTCCCTCCATCCCGGAAAATTGTTCCCGGTTTCCTTTTTGGGCCGTCCCAAAAAATTGTTCCACTTTCCCCTTTTGGAAAGTTTTTTGTGGCTACAATTCATTTACCTTTTTCTTACTCAACCACAACCATACATTTCCACTTTATTCCCACTTTCTTAAACTCCGTTCCAAATCAATGTGGGAACAATTTTCCAGGACGGAGGGAGTAATATAAGACTAAATCCGGTCTATGTTTAACTCAGTTTTATCTAAAGTCAACCGAATTATAGATACTCTATTTAGTCCATTGAGTGTTATAAACATAAGGTTATACACTTGCACCTGACCCAGGCCCACCTCTAGGGCTAGGCCCCAACCTGCAGTCCAGCATACAGCTTTTTACTTCTTTATGAAATATTTTAGTGAGGTAAAATCAAAGTACAATAATTACTCAAATAAGTGACTACCTGAAGCGCACTCGTTTAAGATCTCTGGAGCCATCTCGAAGAGCCACTAGCGTTATATAAACACCAGGCTCATATTGTTCAATCCACTCAGCCTCAATTTGGTCATCATTGGCAAGAGGAATGGAACCTCCTCTAGATCTTGTGCCATTTTTGGTATCCTCCTGTAATGGAGAGGTGTCCTTTTTACCAGCATCAGGTTCAGAGACAAAGTTTCTAAATGTGGGCACCCCACTTCCTTTGGGGAGTTCGGGAATGGACTGAACATCTGGCCTGTTGGAGGTCACAACTCCATTTGGATCCACATTTGTATCATTGAAGTGAAGCAAACCGTTTGACTCCAATCCATTAGGTGGGTAAGCTAGCTTGAAAGTCTCGGTGGTGTAAGTCCCAGGTGGCAATCTCTCAGCCATGTCTTTGAGCTGGTGAAGAAAAAATTGAAATAAGACCCCTTAAGCAGAATGAAAAGGCACAAAAGAGTGCCAAAAGTTGTTACCCATTGATAGAATTTTGCTATATAACTGTAATGTTAGAAAAAGAACGCTTAAGTAACCAATATCTCACAGTTTTAGGGTATGTTAGGATCACTGAGAGTTATAGGTTAAGGATAAAAAACTATCAACCGTATTTTTTTCCATAGAGGGTTTTGCACTTTTGCCATGGAACGCATTGAATATGATATATGATTAAACCTTTTAAAAAAATTGCATATGTTTGAATTTCAGTGTTATAGAATCAATAAGAAAAATGAGTTTGAACGAATATGAAAACATATCCTTATGGTTACGGCGTAACTCTATTTTCCCCAAAGTTTTCCTTCCAGCTTTCCTGCCTATTTTCTTTTCCGGGGTATTTTATGAGTAAAAATATGAAACTCCAAACTTTACCAGTTTTCAATATAATTTGCTTAGGTAAAAGCACAATGTATACACACACACGTATATATAAACAATAAATAAAAGAAAATTTATGGGGTAGGAGAGACTAACCTGTGCAGTAAGTGATATAATCACTTCTTTTGCAGCTTTAGACTTAGCAGATTCCTCTGCAGCCAGAAGCAATGCTTCCTGAGCTTCTTTAGTTGATTTTTGAAGATTCGATTCTTGGAGTTCACATCGTTTTCGGAGAGTCTCCACCTGCAAAATAACCACAAGAAATGGGATATATAATGAAGCCAAAGCTGAAAAAAGAGAATAAAAGAGATAAGATAAAGTGTGCTCATATACCTGAGCATGCAACTTGTGAATTTCTTGATTTAGCACTTCATTGTTCCTCTTCAAACTGTCCACCATGCTTTTGGAAAACAACAGTCCAGAGGTTGAGGGTAAAGGTGTTGCTGAACGTGGGGGGCTGGATTTCCGTGAGAACGGCGACACACTTCTAGAGACACCGGTCAATGCTGCCAAAGCCGGTTTTGGAAAAGTGGGACCCAACGAGAATCTATCGGTTTTCTTTCCTTGTTTGGCTGCTTTGTAATCCAATTGCTTAATCAGCTCGAGATTTGAAGGCACCACTGATTTGGCTAACCGTAACTCATCCTTATCCAATCTGTCCTTGTTCTCACCGCCCGAGAGGCGTGGTCCTTCACCTCTCCCAGTACTGACCACCATACTCAGTTTGGAAAAACAGGAATCACAGACACGGTACGGCTTTCTCGGATTAGGGGCCAAACCAGCCCTTAATGCCTTTCTTGAACTGCAGGCATGGCAATACAAAAGCCCGCAATTGTAGCAATTATGCCTCTTTCTTGTGAACCCAAAAGCCTGCCTACAAGAAGAGCATTGAGATTGCTCAGCCACAGAGATCCACTTGTGAAGACATATAGCTGCAGTGTAACTCGAACCACAAGCAATATACTTTACAACCCTATCCTTCAAAACCTCAACTAAAGTGGGCGACTTTCGATCTTCTACGTCTCCATGGCCTAACCTTCCATTGGCTCCTTTACCCCAAGTGTAAACCTCGTTTCTGGATGTCAAAACAGCGACATGATATGAACCACATGCAATATCTTCAACAACACTTTCCTCGTCAGCAAGTTTGTCCCCAACTAAGCATGGCAACTTTCCATCCGAATTAGGGTTTCCAAGTTGACCATACACAGTGCTTCCCATGGTGAAAACACGGCCGGAAGTGGTCAAGCCGACAGTCAAACAATGTCCACAAGCAATTTTGTGGAAATTATGATCGATAAGGGCGGGCACACAAGTAGGTTCCAAACGGGGCTCTTTGTCACCATGCCCCAGCCGGTTTTTATCTCCATCACCCCAAGTAAACAATTTCCCAGATGATAAACTTGCACTAGATTGAGTAACAATGACCTCCACAACAGCAGCAGTGTGCCAAACACCACATGCAACAGAAACTGTTCTTAATCCAGAGAGAGAAGAAACCTCTCTTGGAAACAGAACGGTCTCTCTATCTCCATGTCCTAAAACGCCAAATGTTCCATCACCAAACGTGAAGAGCCGCCCTGTTGACGTGATCAGGGCTGAATGCCATGGCCCACAAGCTATCGTTGAAACTCGAACCCCTTCAAGAGGACCTGAGATCCTCTTTGGTATCCAATGACTAACATTTGATCCATGACCTAAAAGTCCGGCATTGTGTGTTCCGTCTCCCCATGTGTAGAGTTCACCATCCACCGTAACAGCACATGTGTGGAATTCACCACAAGCAACAAATTCAATGCCATGGAAAGATAAAGATTCAACAAGGTGGGGCTGAGGGGAGTCTTTACCGACACCATGGCCAAGCCGGCCACCAGATTCTTCACCCCATGTGAAAACTTCGCCATGTCTAGTCACAAGGGCAGCATGCCTGACCCCACAGGCTATGCGACTTACATCCAACACAATGTGAGACTCTAAAGGCCTTGGTAGAAGAACATCAGTTCGGTTGGTGTTCAGAGGTATAGAATTCTTTTCAGGACCAACTTTAATGGTGTTATCACATATTACCTCACCCCATATATACACATCACCTGAAGCATCATAATAATCATCAGGAGCTGAACCGTGGCTTGAAGTGCTAGGGGCACTAGAAACACTAACCCTGAGCACATCTGAATTAGGGGCTTTCACTTGCATGTTTTAGGCTGTTTTACATCCAAGTCTGGATTTTCCTACAACCCATTGATGACAACCAAAAAGCATAAGCACAGGATCTCGTAAGCAGAGAATAACATGACTTCTTAGCCGATACTTGTTCATAATCAACAATTTGTGGTTCAGAAAATGCTCCCTCCTCACAAGCTTTACTTCGGATGATTTTTTTCACAATGTCTGTTGCTTTATGAAATCAAAAGCGCATTTAATAATTAATACTAATTTCAACATTTATCCTTTTTTTCCATCTCAACTATCAAGTATCGCCTCATGTACTCAACAAATAGGTATCAGTTAGTGAAGTTTCTTACTCCGAAAAATCGTAGTACTCGACTGCGTGAAACATGAGTATAAGTTTAAATATCATGAATGGGCTAAAAGACTACTTAGTATGGTTAGCTAGGTTTAACAACACATCAAGAATGCAAGAAAGATACCGCATAAGAGAACTGTAAATGACTGAACTTGAGGTTTCCCATTCCATTCCTAATCCCAAAGTTGCGCACCTCTGTTTAAAGATGCAATCTTTGGTTCGAAAAAGGGCTAGTAAGGTCCACTTTCCACTCTCAGAGCCTCCGGTCATTACCAATACCTCCACAGTCACCAGCGTCTGCGAAGAGGAACTTACCACCGCCCTGCCCTCACACCACCTTGCAATTGATAAAAATAGAAAGTGAAACCCTAATTACTCCAGTAATTGGGCAGAGCAGCATCCACCTTTAAACGCCTCCACCTCGCTTAATCGTCACAGATCTGGAGGTTGAAATCTCCCGTAACAGCTGACAGACTTTGACAGGAATGAGACTCTTGGTTGGCGTTTCGGCTGAAACCGAGAAAATGCCACCTCTGTCGGAGATATAAATATGGCTGTAGACTTTTCCGCCCTCCAACGATGGAGTGGAGTGGTCAAATGTGAGGAAATTCTTCGAATCTAATACCAGTATGTGAAAAAACAAAAGCAAGAAAACTCCATTACTGTAATATACGGTGTCCCAAATGCTATTGTGTATCTTTTTTACTCAGGGCAGTCACTGTTTTACTTCTCTCCCTTCCATTGCACTGTTGCAGCTGTCTTCCCCAAAATGATACGAGCAACGCTTTTTCATAATCTTACAGAATCTAACCCGGGCGGCTGGCTCTTTCATTATACGAAGAAATTCTTTTTGGGAGAAAACGAGCAAATAGTCCCAAATATGCAAGTCTCAATCCCTTTTTAACTGATACAATTATTGCGTAGAAATAATTGCAACATTGGACTTTTTTCACTATTTACATATTCTACTTTGACTATATTTTATTAATTAATGTATTATAAATTAAATTTTAAAAAAATATTAATAAATTCTTCTCATTCTAAATTTTCAATAAATGAAATTTTTAACTTTTTTACTAATAAGAAGTGAAAATTATTAATGGTCAAACTTGTGTGTTGACAAACGTAAAATGTTGACCGTTGCAATTATAATAATATGTCATCTATCTCGTGAAACCAACGTGCAATGCATAAACGATTCGTACTTTGAAGGTCAAAAGTCAATAAACGATCACAAATTGCAAGTGTTGTGACTCTTATGGTAGCTAAATATTTCATCATCTATTGAGTGACCCACCTAATTGGATGATTACGTTTGTCATTGTTTCTAATAAGAATCATGTATTAATTAATCTAAAAATATTGAAATTCAAAATGATAGATCAAAACTTTTACAATAACCATTTCAAGGACAACAAACAAAATCATCTTATTCAACATAAAATAACACGAAAATATTTAAATATTTTGAAGCACTTCCTTATAAACAACATTTGTTGTCTCATTCTAGCATTATCATTATCATCTAAAATTAAATTTATCAATTTGTTGTGGTTCGTAACTCGTTAAACTACCACATATAGTTGACCATTGCTGAAAACCGGTTTCTTCAATAATAAATCGACATGTGAGCAGGCCCGGCCCGGGGCATTACAGACAGACTGGGTTTCTAGGATAACGTGTGAATGTTTTTTATAATTTTATTAAAAAAACTATAAGTAAAATTAAGCAATCTTGTCATCTAAATACGAGTATAACACATTAAGAAATTATTAAATGAAACCTAAAGAAACATCATATTTAAGTATTTGATAAGTGACATTCGAGAATACTATGTACCTAAATCGGCTAAATGGAAAAGTACTACACTTGTTACTTGCAATCAAGAATTTTGAATTAGGGAAATACATGAAAGTTATGTGGTATACAAGTATATGGAGTACGTAACGTATTCATATTTCAAATCACGTTTTCACTAGACTAAAACAAACTACAAATTGATTAAAACGACAAAGAGGAAACAGAGTGACCAAATCCAAGGGAAAGAACAAACCCATTTAGAGAATGATACCACAACTGGGGTGCTTGTCTGAGACCATAGATAGATTTACGAAAACGACCAACAGACCCGGAACCATCATTGAAACCAGGAGGTTGTCTCATGCATATACTTGCTTCCTCGTGAAAAGTCCCATGCAAATAGGCATTATTGACATTGAGCTGAATGATTTGTCAACCATGTGAAAGGGCAATGGTGAGGACAACTAGAATAGTGACCGGTTTGATTGGGCTGAAAGTGTTAGAATAATCAACTCTTGGGCACTGATGAAAGCCCTTAACAACCAACTGAGCTTCGAAATGATCCAAGAAACTATTCGGCTTGTACTTCACAATATAAACTCATATGCAGCCAACAACATTTTGACGAGGACAAGCTGGAACAAGATCCCATGTTCCTTGTTTAACCAAGGCTTCAAATTCTGCAGACATAGCATCCTTCCATTCTGGTACTTGTAAAGCCTGGGAAACACGGTATGGGATAATATGATGAGGCAAGGCAGATTGAGCGATGACATAAGATTGTTTATGAGGACGAAGAGTCATGGGATGAGTACGTTTGGAGGGGAATTCGTCGGGGTGATAGTGGTGGTTCATTAAGTGAAGTTTGAGGAGATGGTGGGGTAGTTGGTTTTTGCTTAGGCCGACGTTGATAGGTGATTGATATTGTAGTAATTTCAGGGTTGTATGCTTGCATTTTTAATTAGTTTTGTTCTTAGTTAGTTGGAAAGTACACATTTTTGGTGTAATACTTTAATTTATTAAATATTAACTAGTTTCTTGTACGCGCGTTGCGCGTTAGAGAAAGTGCCCAATACATTTTTTTCTTAGACAATATGTGTATTGTATATTAAGTGAATTTGATTATGAATAATATTTTACATGTTAACATTAATTTGTATCAATCCAGGAATATACAGAGCATCATTTAACATTCCTTCATACTATCGTAATTAATTAAAGAGTGAAAAACTCAATAACAAAAAAAACATGCATATGTAGAGAAGGGTTAGGATGTCTTTAATTGAACTGGTTTCAGTCCCAGACCAGACTTCGATAATTGTATAATACACATAAAACAGACATCTACCAAATCAGACCAAAAAAATCAATCATGTTAAAATATCTTAGACTTTATTTTTCTCATTCCACACCAAAATACATAAAAATATCAAAATATATCTAGTGCTCTATAATCACGACAAGTACAATTAAGAGAAAAACTGTTTGTGCTATACATAGAAAAAACATTGCATGAAATAGATGATTTTCACCCTTAGAGATGTAAGCTACTACTAATAATTTCAACAAAGTCAAAGTTATGAAAAATCATCATAACTTATATTTAAGAGTATATGAAAATGACAATAATTGTGAGCAAAAATTACAGAGTAACTAAATGATTATGAAAATACCACAGATCATATGGTTAATCATTAATTAGTTTCCTTTAATTTTAGTATATTTTAATAGGGAAAACTATAAGTATGCGTTTATTAAGTAAATAGTTGTTTTCCTTTATTATTAAGTATTTAAGTAAATAGTTGATGTCCTCTAGGTTTTCCCGATTATCACCCCATGGCTCTGTGAGAGTGCGGACGAAATAATAAAAGTCACAACTCTAACTAATGAGGTTGAAATTTTGAAAAGCAGGCTGACATAGCCTCCCTCCCTCCTAATTTTCACACCGAAGTTGCTGAAATATATACATGTTCAAGGTAAGGGATAAATAATTTGATGTCTAAAATATGAAAGTGTAAGCCTGAACTAACACCTTAATAGAAATATATTTTATAAGTTTATTCAAGAAGTTTACGTGTAGAGTAATGTAATTTAAATTGATTAGTAACTTTGTTAAATATATCACTTTCTTAAACATCTAAGTTCGACTATTCATACTTTTTAATGTTTTTTACTCATTATATTATTTCAAATTTGAGAACAATGGGATATAACATTTGTAGAACCAAAGAAAGATGTTCTTTCAAAAAAAACAAAGAAAGATGTAGAGAAGTATGAATAAAAGTATGATAATGATTATCAGGAGATTAATTTGAAAAAAGGAGATGGGGATGCCTCCAGAATGCTAAGTTGCAATCAACTTGGGAGGTCAAAATGTTTCTATTATCCAGACCCGAAATCTGGAAAAGTTCCAAATCACACAAGCAATATAAGAACATTTGCATATACAAAAAAAAACTAAGTTGGAATGGCTCAAATGGTAATTTTATAAGAACATAGGCCATTTTATACTGCAGCAGATGTTTTATCATGGAAAAAGCTAAAAGAAAGGTGCCGCAAAAAACTGAGAGAGCCTAAGAACATTCAACAATTTAGATGCACATGAAAGAAAAGCTGAAAAGATACGATAAACAAATGAGTCTAAAATATGTTAATGGTTTAATCTAAAGGTGATTCCAAAATATAGCTTGTGGGTAAAAAAATTTGAACAATCTGTATGAGGGCAATGGACGTAGCAACAAATTGGGCATCTGTGATTTCAAAGGAAACCATACTAAGCTCCTAAAATGGCCATTTGTGTAGAGACTTTATGCTTGTGTTTCAAGAATTATATTTCCACCCGAAGCTAGCAAACCATTGTGATCCACGCCTTAGGATGGTTGGGGAAGCAGCTACTATGTCCACATCTGTAAGTGTTTTGGAAAGCCATAGGTAGATTTGGCACGAAAAGGAGGCAGGAGGCTTCAACCTTAGTTTGCATTGTTTCCCTTAAAGGCTCTGTATAAGAGCCAGATACTTAGCCACAAATTTAAGCACCGAAGGCTAAATGATAATGGATATCCAACCTGATAAGCTTTTCCTCGAGCCTCATAACTTCTAAATTACTATATCTAATATTATTATAAGAATTGATCCGATCTAAAAGCATTACAACAACAACAACAAAAACTTTCGAGCCTTAGTGTCAAAAAAGTTCAAGATTGGCTAACATAATTAGACATATGAAGTCGGAGCTAAAAGGATAAATAAAATAACAAAAATTAAAAAGATAATAAGGCAAGATAAAAAGAAAGGTAAAAAGTAAAAAATATAAGATAAAGATAAAAAGAATAAGATAAAAAGGATAAAACAAAAAGATAAAAAGATCAGATAAAACTATTAAAAGAGGTAAATACACGATATCTGAAGCTCTGTTCATAAAAAGAAAATGTTGAAAATGAGAGAGTAAAAAAGCGGATTGAAGCCCATTACATTTCCCACATGCTAATATATTTGTACACTCTATTACATGATTTGATGCACATTTTGGGGAGCTCTTTTGACCTACTCATATAACTGATGTTTTTTTTTTTGAGAAATAATAAATTTTATTAAAGAGATTGCAAAATGAAAGTACACAACAAGAATAAATGAAGCAAAAACAGAAAGAACAAGAGGGAGAGGGCAAACAAAAAAAAAAACAAAAAACAAAAAACAAAAGAAGCCCAACCCAAAGTATAAGAAATATGTCCCTCAGATAATCGTGAACCCTCAGATAAGGACATCAAATCTCCATTCGTGATTGAGATCGAGTTCTCATGAGATGCGACCGCTGGTTTTTCTTCTTGAGCATCCTTGTATGAGTGTTTAAATTTTGAGTAGGCAGACAATTTTCTGACGTTACCATCAAAGCTTTATAGCAGATGTCTTGATTGGAATCATAATCCCATAGATCCTCCACTGATGATAAAGGAACCCTTTTCTCATTCTCTGAAACATGACCTAAAAATTCATCCCCAGAGTCTGAATTATGTTGATCGCCAAAAATCCCTTCACTAGCGAATACTTCAGGAAATTCTGGAACACTTATCTTT